ACAGCTTCTGGTTGCCTGGCCACAACATTATTCGGCTTGACCACACCAGCCCTAGGAGGGGGTGGTGTTGCGGTCGTCGTCAAGAAAGGGATCAGTCCCACAGTCTGTCACATATCCGCACCTCTGTCCACCATCACCCGTACCGGTTCCCGCTTCGTAGTTGGAGGAGATCTAAACGCCTGGCCTGACGGAACTATCAGCAGAACCAGAAGGATCGTCTGCTGTTCGACCACTCACAGGCTTGTTCAAGCCGGTAGCCTTGAAGAAACTCAGCTCCGACCACCAACCGGTGGTGGCTGAACTGGGCTACAACGTGGACCCTGCTCCAATCCTGCACAAGGACTACCATCGCGTAAACTGGGCCCGCGTGGTAGACAGACACAGCATCGACAACCCGCCGCTTGACAGCATGGAGGACATCGACGGAGCGTTGGAGGGACTCCATCAAGCCATAACCGTTGCTGACGAGGCGTGCGTCCGACGAGTTTCTGTGTGTGGTAAGTTTATTGCAGAGAAATGTTCGTAGACGCCAGTTTCAGAGGACTAGAGATCTGGGCAAAAAGCGTGAAATGGCCTATCTGAACAAGGAGATTGCTTCCAGAATGGTCTCACTCCGGACCGAAAGTTTCGGGTGGCTCGTCCAGAATCTGGACGACCGCTTCCGACCATTCTGGAAAGTTGCCAAGGTCCTAAAGACGCACCCCAAACCCATTCCACCACTCAAAGATGAAAATGATGACGATCGGCTCATAATCACCCCTCAGGAGAAAACAAATGCGATTGGTGAGCATATTGCCAAATCGCACTTGCTTGGCTCCAACATGCAAAGTCCACTCGACGTTTAGGTTGAGCAATGCGTACTCAACCTTGATTTCTCGCCTTGTGCCATTCCTCCGGAGGATAGAATCACAGTGGAACAGATTTGCTCAGCGCTGAAATGCACCAAAAATATGAAGGCCCCCGGGTTCGACGGAATATTCAACCTAGTGTTGAAAAATCTCAGCATGAAGGTTCACTCTCTGCTGTCTTCAACAGATGCTTGGAACTGCACTACGTTCCAAGTATCTTGAAGACAGCGAAAATCATACCTATTCGCAAACCCGGGAAGGACCCAACGCTAGCTTCAAGCTATAGACCAATCAGCCTCCTTTCAGCGCTGAGCAAATTGTTCGAGAAACTTATTCACAATCGTTTGCTCAAGTTTGTTGAGGAGCACAACATTCTCCTACCGGAACAGTTCGGGTTCAGGAAGGTGCACTCCACAAATCATCAGCTAGTACGGGTAACAAGGCTGTATCCAAGTCCACAGCTCTGGCATTGTTAGACGTTGAGAAAGCGTTTGACAATGTCTGGCTTGTATAGAAGCTTTGTAGCTTCAACTTTCCTTTGCATCTTTTTAAAATCACCCGTAACTACCTTCAGCAAAGGTCGTTTAAGGTATCGTTGAACGACTGCCTTTCAAACACGTTCTCCATCCCAGCAGGTGTTCCGCAAGGAAATCTGTTGCGCGCTTTGCTTTACAGCATCTACACTTCTGACATTCCTTCCCTCGGAGACGGTTGCGTGATCCTCCTGTTCGCAGATGATACCGCAATAACCGTCAAGGTTAGGATGGACCACAAATGACTGATAAAAGAGTTAGCTAAAGAGTAAGAGCTTGCAGCCAAGATATGTCGTCCAGGATTGGCTTGTACTACATGGACATCTACAGAGCACCTCAAAAACGGAACTCTCAAATTGCTTCCGAATTTCAACCTATCGAACTTTTTCACTGATAACGAATTAAGAAATCAATTTAATACTTACTATACTTTTGCTGTGACATCAAAACTACCTTTCGTAATCCTACGTCAAATCTACGGTCGTGTCTTAAATATAACGTCTCACTTTTTTCTGTAAAAATTCCCTTGTTTCCCCGCATGTGTTTTTCCAATGTTTCGTTAATGTTCGTTACTCGATTGTCCATATCAAAATGGCTTATACCTACCTTTCCAGTTTTCGCTTCTGTCTGATGTTCGTAATGTTTGACACCGGCACCGGTCTGGTAAATAATGATTTGTTTATGATTCACCATCATCGTTTTCCACGTGCAAACTGAGCATATTCATCCATTGCACTCATAGTATATGTGGCTAAAAGTAGCATTGTATACAATACAAAATCACGAATACCGGCACGCACTTCTCTCACTGCTGCTTGTGAAATGAATTAAGCTAGATTTCAATGAACACCTCGTATGCATTCAATAAAAAAGCCACATGTTCTCTCTCCAAACCATACTCACACAAAATAAACAAGCCTCTCTCAATGTTAAACGCATCATGAACCCTCCCTTCATAACACATCCATACATCAATGGCATCGTTCCAGTCTACACGACTCTACACACGTACCTATTCATTGCTTTGTGCAAAGATCAGCCACGACTCTGCTGCACCACCGTATCTCCAGCGTTCGTCGATTTGCCGTCGTAGCTCTTAGCAAAAAGATTATCAGGATGTTGTCAGAAGTGGGGTTCGAACCCACGCTCCCTTACGGGAACCAGAGCTTAAATCTGGCGCCTTAGACCGCTCGGCCATTCTGACTTCGTGCCAATTGCTCTCCGAGAAGGCATTTTTGTACTGTGCAGTGTTTGGATTGGAGGGAGGTTGCAATCGTTTGCTACTGGTCTGCTCCACCTTGTTATCATTTCTTATTACAGCGGTTGCAATGAGGTGGCAGTGCGACTGCGCTTTGTAGTGTGTTGATGCTAGCCTGTGGCTGCTTGTCGCCTGTCTGATTCGTATTTATAGAAGCGGCACGTACGGGCCGACGCTTTGTTTGATACGAAAGCGGTGATTATTCAGATGAGCGTCAATCGAGTCAATCGCTATAATTGGATGAGTATTTTACGACCTCTGAATGGTCGTTTGATTGAGCTTAATTTGAAATGTATGTAGGAGAAATTATTATTAAAATAATCCTAGAAACAAAGTTCGATTTGAAATTCGACATAGAGCGAATTCTACTGCAGCTGCTGTGCTGGAAATGTGCCATTCGAATGCACAACCATTCGCGTACAAACAAACAGAATACATAGAAAATAATGTCCTTTTACTCACTTGGTCGAGATTGTTGTGCACGACGCTGGCTGGTACTCTGTCCCATTAAGTGCAATGGGAAGCAATGAAAGAGCAATATTCTTATCGCTTTCGATGAAGAACATTTTCTTATGCAACGAAGAAACGATGGTAGAGAATGTGACAACTTTGACGACTTCTTGAATAACTTATGAAAATCGCTTCTAACCTCGATTCCCCAGCGAATTAACAGCACAGCAATTATCTCTCGGACTGGCTAACAAGTCATTAATCCTGAAAAAAAGGATGCCTCCCCTGCGAACGCGCCATGTAATGCATCTTTGATGACACTGTACTTGTTCAACAACCTGATTTTGTTTTATTACCGAAACCATCACCCGTTTTGATGACATAGACTTTATGACAGTCGCGTAGATTTAGACTTCCCGTCCGACGAAAACGAATTACGGCTGCGATGAGGATGTCGCGAACCACACTAACGTGTCCTGAATTGCAAACCCATAATCCGGAAGCATCATTTACACAGCAAAAGTCATTTCCAAGCAACAACCACCACCGTCGTCGTCGTCGTCGTCGTCGTGGCGAAACTTTAATGAACTGTAACGGCATGCCGGTTCCTTCGAGGAGGGGCATATCCTTCCACAGGGATGCAAAACAAAATGCAAATCAATCCATAGTCGCGAGTGTTCTCCGGGCAGGGAACTCGGAGTTTCGACAGGATGATGGGAAACTGTCCTGCCCTCGTCATCATTGTCGTCTCAATTTCTCATTGAATGTTGAACAACGACGGCGCGACGGCGGCGGTGAAGTTTCGAACGGAACCGTCAAACTTTTCTCATTTGTGCGTGATCTTGCAAATGTGTAGTGATTTGAATTGCAACTACTACATGCTCTCGCTCAGGATGATGCAAATTCTTACTCGCAAGTACAGGGCAGAACGGAATCTTATTAATATAAATTACGAATGAATACATTGTTTTCCGGGTATCGAAAGTTGATTATGCGACGAGTTGGTAGAGGAAGATACTGTCGTCGTCGGAGTTTGGCTCGATGGTGTTCCGGTCCAAGTTTTCGGCGTTATGGGTCTTAGATTTGTCTGGATTTGTTTGTCATGGATAAGTTGCTTGAAGTAATATTTTGACATTTAATGCAGCTTGATATTGTCAACACTGCCTTTCCCTTTAGAAGTTAGCAAATATTAACAGTATTTGATAAAAAAAAATAGTGAGTCCAGTCAAGTTAGGGTCATAGCAGAGAATGGCAAGCTGAACATTGCATTAGGTCCTAAGTAATATTGATTGATTCTCTTCATCGCAGGATGGAGGATTGTAATGTACCGGTTCGCTCTGTAGAACACTAACACTATAAAGAACATAATACTCTCTTGCTCTCTTCGGAGACCTTCCTCATAAACAAATCAGTGCCAACATTTCAAAGGGGCGTAATTGCATTTGTAAACAATGGCTTTAGCCGTCAATTTCTCGCGAATAAAAGCTCACTAATGAAAAATAATAACACCAGCAGGTAGAGGAATGTCTCCTCTACCAGCTAGCATTGTTATTTTGGATAGGTAAGATTTCATTCACGAGAAATTGACGGCTAAAGTCATTGTTTATAAAAGCAATTACCAATTACCAACTGCACCAGACGTGTTTCTTTAATCTTTGAAAGAGTCTTACACTATATCCAGCTATGGAAAAAAAAACAGTTATCAGTCGTAAAACCGGTTGCTCAACCTCAACGACTCCGTTTTGACTTCCAATTGTTCCTTTTCACTGAAGAGAAAGCTACGTGAATAAACACATCGTGAGATGATTTATTTGTTTACATTTTGATAACCTCGGGCCGTCATCAAAGCGGGGATTTGATTGGGAAAAAAAATATGAACGCAACCTTTGAGATTAACTTAGTGAGTGAGTCATAGGATTTTTTTTATAAACTGGGGGACTCATCTTCCCACTTTTTATGGGAGAGAAAAAGAGTTAGGGACTGTTCATAAACTACGTAGACAAGTTTTTGAGATGCTTAACCCCACCCTCCCCCTGCGTAGACAATTGTCCATACAAAATTTTTAAAATTTGTAAGGACCGTGGATAATTGTCAACCCCCCCCCCCCCCCTAAACTGTCTACGTAGTTTATGAACAGCCCCTTAGCAATAAAATTTCACTCAGCCACTGAGTAACATTATTCGACCGTGTAGCATCAAACAAGAACACATTAGAGGTCGTAATCGCATCACGAAACACTATAGCTACTGGTGTCCAAAACTCGATTTTGCATTTCCTGATCGATCCAATGCCGGAAGAGAGACACATCCGCGTACAGCCCTGGGATTCCACCACCGCATCCAACACCCCACGAGACAATGCCAACCTGATGGTAGAACTCGTTGGAACCCTGAATGGGACACACGAGAGGGGATCCACCGTCGCCTTGACAAGCATCTTTGCCAACTTCTCCACCGGCGCAGACAAAGCTGTCATGCAAGGTAAATCTAGGCTGCGAACGGATTAACCTTAACGTGGCCTGACACTCGGAATGCGGTACGATAGGCAAATCGATTTTCTTCAATATGGCCTGATATGCGCCTGTCTTGCCGAATACGTCCTTCCCCCAGCCGGAAACGAAACATCTCTGGAGATCGAATCTTTCATTCGGTGGAGGCAAGCAAACGGTTTGAACTACTTCACTAAGAACGACAGGTGCTTCCAAAACTATCAACGCAATGTCATTGAACAGTCCTCCTTTGTGGAAGTCTGGATGGGCAACAATCTCAACCACTTGGCGATCCTATGATGAACCAAAGAAAATTAGTACCAGCAGAGAAAACACATACCGAGAAGTCCTACCTGATAAGGATGGATTTCATTCTCAGTTTGAGTATCCCACTCGCCTGCACGGATTCTCAACTGATCAGGAGCTTGATGCTGAACACAATGAACCGCAGTCAGTACTACACCGGGATGAATTAAGGATCCACCACAAAGGTACACGTTTACCACCTGATCTAGGACATGCACTTGTCTAAATACCGCAACCATCCACGGGAATTCTCCGTACTCGGATTCACTGTTATTAGCTCCCGTGATTCGGAAGCCAATTCCTATGGTGTTTCGTTTTCCACAGACAGGGTGATCCACGTTTGGTGGTTCGACAGTTGAAGCACTCGGCAGTTCGGCGATCTTCAAAGGAATAATGACTTTACAAAATGATCATTTTCATCCCAAACAATACCTTACAATATCTTCTTCATAGCAGCACTGTAGCAAGTAATCCACACAAGGATTGCTCTCACTGAAGCGAATGTCAATAAGTCCTGCTCCACTTGTAGAATCATTCGTGCAGAGATATTTCTGGACACATCGTTGACCTTGCTGACAGGATCCCTGGAGGATATATTAAATTGTAATACAGCATGGAAGTTGATGAAATGACTGTCCTTACCTGTGAGCCTACTGCAGCTGGAGGTACAGTTGTGAGCAAGCTATCGATGGAAACATCCAGATCGGCATCATCTTCGGCAGTGGCAGTAGTCACGAGCAGTAGCAGCCGCAGCAGTGCAAGAGATAACGCAAAGACTCGGCCCATTCTGAATGCTGGAACACAAATGATGAGTTTGATTTCAAAACAAGTCGATTTATGCTACTGTGCGGAGCCGGTTCGTTGGCTAGTAGATTTTGTTTTGACGCGCGGGACTACGGCTTGAAGCGGCAGAGAGCACACATTTCTAATTGGTAACTACCCTTTCGGCAGGCTGACTTTACTTGACTCATACCAATTGAAATTCCCGACCAGATAGAAAGTAGCTCTCGTCGGCGGTGATGGTGGAGAGTTCAGTGCATATTATTTCAGATGGCGTTAGTGTGTCATTTGGCTTCTTTTTGTTTGTATTTAGCTGACAGCTCGATTAGATAGAAGGTTGCTGTCTTGGGCAAAGCTTGGTCAGGTGAACAGGTTGGAATTATTGTTTTTGGAGTTTGAATAAACATTAGACATATTGTTTATAACATTAACTTAATTTTTCGGTAAAACCTGAAAGGTTTACGAGCAAAGGTATACAAAGCTCCCGCTATGAAGACAGTCGTTCATACAAATAATAAAAAAAAATACTGTAGTCACTCTCCATCATCCCCCTAAACTCCGACAGTCCGTAAAACGAACATAATTCCCAATTTAAGATTTAATTTGTGGAAGACTAAGAAGTCAAAATGTACGTGTTGATAAAATCGGAATCATACTGTACATAGGTTTAGTTTAAATCGGCTATCTTTCTTAGGATGAAATAGAACGTAATGGTATTCGGTTGGAACAAATACGTAAAACAATTAATATTCGAGTTATAAGAAAAGTGTTTTCATCAGAAATGCATATCAAATCCTTATCAAGAGCAATAATTGTCAGCGCCATCGGGACATGATCGTAATTATTATTTTCGGAAATTAGATTTTATCTTAATATGAGAAAAAACGTAAAACCGAATTGAAATTGGGTCGGAGGAATGAATACGCAAAATATACAATATTCGCTTTTTACGAAAGAAGTGTTGATCGGAAATCCATATCAAATCCTTCTCTAGAGCACTTGTTGTTGTTGTCGGTGAGGTCGCCACCAGGATTGAAATCTAATGACAGCAAGCTGACCGGGAGCTTGATCGTAATTATGTTGTGATACAAGGAGCTCGGTGGCCTAGTGGCGACCGATTTTGCTTACTGAGCAGAAGATCGTGGCTTCAAACCCAAGCTTTTGAATGTTTAGAATATCAGTTCAGCATATCGTTTACCAAAACGAATCCTTCTACAATCCCAACCCTTTTATCAAACATCCCAGTGATTTCTCGTAGAAGTGCAGAGGATTTCTCGGATTTCATTAAGCGAGCACTACGTAAAAATATCCAGCATTTTACGAGCACTTATGGCCGCCACAATCTGGCTGAGGTTTTGGTAGGGAACATATGATTTGACGTTTGGGTTGTGTCGTTCGACGTGCAAACGTTCAAATTTGATCGTTTACACGTTAAACGACACAAGCCAAACTTCAAATCTTATGTTCCCTACCAGAAACTCAGCCAGATTGTGGTGGCCATAAGCGATCGTAAAATACAGGATTCCTACCCATTTTTTCCTTGACCAGCGTGGACGTGGCCGGCGCTGATATCGCCTAATTTAAGATCACGACAAGGGGTGGTCACTCTACACACTTATTTTGTGCCAATATTTTTCTCAGTGTACCTCAGTGTGCCGCAGCTGTACAGGCAGTGCCAAGAAGTCATTGAACTTATTTTTTTTTTTGCTTGTGAATAATGTCTTGTTTGGCAACCCGGTATTTGAACAGCTCTTGTTTTTGTTTTTCAATGTTTTCAAAAACGACACGGACTCCAGTTGGGACTACACACTGGCTGCATCCATCTTCAAGGATGCCTGCAACTGACGAGCTCCGTTGCTACACGATCCTTCCGGCGGAAGGCCGACCCCGCACAACGAACGTCAATCATTAGTCAACCAGCCCTTCTGGGAGCCGGCGAAGGAAACATATTTGCACCGATTTTTTTACCGCCCGAGTATCATCCGTTGGAAAACTGGAAACCAACATCGGCCGGACCACACGTCGGACTGACGAAGGGCCGACCCGATGACCCGAAACGGACCATCCAACTTCATTCAACCGGCACAGCAACAGGGCGCAGTGATGATGGTCTACGGACTCAGTACCGCCATGGTCCAGATGGAAGACACTTGAACAACATTGAATTAATGGAAATGATGGTAGCAAAATTCAAAGAGCATTTTCCAAGTAGAACTATATGCCGGACAATTCGATCATCTTCAAGGTGTACAGCACCTCCAAGAACAATCGCTTCCATTCCCGAGCAAGTTTCTCCACTTCTTCAATACCCCACCCGGTATGTCCGAGGATCTGCTTCTGACTGCATTCACCACCAAGGACTGCCACCCGTCGCAAGTGCGAATATTCCCGCTGAAATCGGAACGTTCCTCCTTCGGATTGATCGAGTTCCCGAGTGAAGACCTGGCGGTGTACGCCATCATGAAGTGCAACCACAGCGCGATCGATCACAAAGGCACAAAATTCCCGTTCATTATGAAGCTGTGCTTTTCCTCCTCCAAGTCTATGAACGGTGCGTGGTCGGATGGTATAGTTTTTGTTTGATTGTTGACTTTCCGATTAAAACCCAAGCACCGTTTGTCGTGACCGGCCCAAGATTTCCAGCGTCGGCCACGGCTACACGAATTAGCGATGCAGCTCCCACGGCTGCGGCTGCTTCCAATGCTGCTGCTGTTCCTTCTGCGGTCCGTCTCCTCCAAAAGTCCTCAGAAAAGACGGACCAGCAGCAGCATTGGAAGCAGCCGCAGTCGTGGGACCTGCATCGCTAGTTCGTGTAGCCATGGTCTGAAACCTCGGTCAGGTCAAGATACCGCTGTCAGCAGTTCTTCGTTTAGAAGGAAATGTGAATGCAACTGCCGTCACGGGTGTAGCGATTGTGAGAATCCATGGTGAGACTTTGTTGAGATTCACGGTTGTGTTTTGAAAATAATTTGATTATATTGCGGCAACATCAATAGCAAATTTTGACACATGCAAACTGCGCAGGCGCAGAAAAATTTCAGTGTTGCCAGTAGCTTTAAAGATCATAAAAAATTGTAACCATGGGTGCCAAATAGCTCCAATGACTGCACCCGGGTGTGCCCAAGTTTGATTTTGACACACTGTGTAGAGTGACCAACCCCTTGGATCACGAATATATACCGTATGCGTGATAATGTTTGCACCATCGTACAAATAAGGTTCCCGTTTCACCTGTGCATACAATGCTCGTATAAAAGAAAATGATTTACTTAGTTTGACAGTTGCAACATGACGAAGTGGCAGCGTATTCGTGATTTGTCCCATGCGCAAATGTCGCAAAAAGAAATTTCAATCGCCGTGGGAGTGTCCCGGTGCATCGTCAAAAGGGTTTTAGACCGAGAAAGGAAGGACAACTATCTGCGAAGGTGGCCACAGGTCGTCCGAGGTCAGCTCGAGTTCCGAGGGTTATCGCTGCTATCACAAGGAAGATTCGGGTGAATCCAGTGCGTTCAATAAGCAAAATGGCAAAGGAACACGGGATCAGTGAAGATCGTAAAGGAAGATTGCGGAGTGAAGTCGAGGGCACGGAAAAAAACTCACATGATTACCAACCGCATCCGGGAGCTACAAGTTGAACGATGCAAGAAAATCTTGAACTTCCTTAAGTGAAAAAATCCGGTAATCCTGTTCACAGACGAGAGCATGTTTACCGTCGATCCCGTATCAAATTCCAGAACCGACCGGTATATTAGTTCTCTTCCGGTAAAAGACGTGGCCGACGAGCACAAGAACGTGCATCTGACCAAGCATCCTGCTAGCGTTATGGTGCTTGGATTGGTTGCTTCCGATGGCAAAAAATGGACCCGGTGTTCATTCCAGAAGGCGACAAGGTCAACACGGAGGTCTACATCGGGATTTTAAGTAAGTATGTTCTTCCGTGGATCAAAGAACAGTACGGTTCGAAGCCAAATGTTGTATTTCAACAAGATGGGACTCCGTGCCACACTTCGAATTTGATATATGTTTCACATCAAAGATGCGTCACACATATCAAAACGGCCAGGCCTACTGTGCAACATTTAAGGGGCAAGATGATTCAGAATTAATCATCGGACCTGTTTGAATCGAAGATTTAAACACGATGCTTCAGAATTCAATAAATGGATGAAACTTGGACATCTCGTACCGTACGTTCCGATTTTGGTATTTATTGGTTGGTTGTTGGAAGTATCAAAGCTAGAAAGATTAAGTGATGCTCCATTTTATTCTGACGGTTGGGACATGAGTACTAACTCTTGTCCTAGCCTTTTATGGCTTATGGATATAGCGCCATTACTCGCTTTATGAAAAGAGAAGAGGGAAAGGAAAAGGAGAAGGACAAAGGGAAAAGGATTATGTAAACTCTATGAACATAAACTATATTTTTGATTTGAAATATACAATATAGAAATGCATAACGCGGTGGTCACTACCCGAGTCTGGTCACTATTATCAAGTCAAAAAAAGTAATAAGGACTAAAATGTGGTCCTTTGATTACTGGAAAACCCTGATTCCCTAGTTTGAAGTTGTCACGACTAGGGTTCGGTGGTAGATCTTATACCAGTAACGCGTCACAAAAAGGTGATCTCTCAACGTTACTGGGGTTTTAAGATTTACAAAATTTACCAAAAGGAACTCACCAAGTTTAGCCAATTGAACCTGAAAGCTGCCTGACATGTGTTGATGTAGAAGTCCAAATGTTAGACGAAGCTTGACGAAGATCAACATGAACTAGTCCGGTTTATGGTAGTTGCTCGGAACGTCTTCCGTCGATTTGAGATAATCAAATGTTTGGATGTATATAGTCGATTTTTGATGTGCATCGACACGTCTTTTCGTGGCCAATAGTCAGGTTCAACGCTGCGACTCAACGAATGATGGAACTAATGATGGAACGCCTCATGGAGGTTCTACTTGTCTTCGGAATAGCATCTCAGCAGGAAATAACAGGGACGTAGAACTAGATACAATAAGATGCAGCTCTCGCAGGGCTTCTTCTGTCTTAGTGAACTTACTGAGGAACTAGAAATTGTCTCCTGGGCCTGGTTTTGGCCAGACCAGC